AGATCCACAAGGCACTATACTTAAGTATGAAATTGAAAACTTACTATTATGTACAAATGTCATTTTTCCTTTGAAGAATTGTTCCTTTGTTATAGAATGATATTAATTTTACAGGCAATTGATATCGCAGATAGAATTGTTTAAGCAAACCAGTATGCCTCCCACCAAAACGTCGGAGAGTAAAAAGACGGACGAGTTGGTTGAGCCTGGTACTCTTAAGTATCAGATGATGTATTTGCCAGAAAAGGCAAGAATGCAGGAAGCTGCTAGGATCGCACAGCTCGAGCAAAGACTTTGCTGTCTAGAAAATATCATAGGAACAAGTAATGACAAGCTTTCGAAATTCTCACAGGTAGGAGTTATTAAAATTTTTCAAGCATACATATTTTAAAAAGATTTGTAACTTCATTTTTCTTCACAGAATCTTAAATGTCAGGGCGTCATGGAAGCTGTGCAACAATTAGAAGCAAAGGCTTCGTTGTTAGATGTTAATCAATTAGACACCATTGAAACGAGATTAGGCACATTGATTTATCGGATGGACAGTATTGCACAGAAAAGAGCAACAACGGAACAAGAATCAGAGCAAGAGCAAAAGGTACCAACCGAGTGTTTTTAACTTTACAATATATCTTGCATAATAAATCATTTCTTTCGCATTTTTTTTTACAGATCTCTGAAATGTATGAAATAATGAAAAAAACGGATGCTATATCACAAATATTACCGCAAACAGTAGAAAGATTATTGGCATTGAGTGATATTCATCAACAAGGTATAACTAATCAACGATGGCGAATGTATGCTTGTCTAAAAATGCATTCTAAGAAAATGTATTGTATTTCAGCTGCTGCTTTCAGTAAATCTTTAATAAAATTAGAGGAGCTGCAAGTAGAAATCTCGTCGGGATTAGAAAGTAACAAATCTTTACTGAAGGGAGTTCAGGAAAGTTTTGCTTCTAATATGGAGGTCATAAAAAGCAACTTGGCGTTGCTTGATGAACGTGTCAAAAAACTGAACAAATTAAAGTAGAAATCTAGTCGTAAAACGCAGCTAGATCAATTTATAAAAATCGCTTTATATACTCGGAGTCTTTATATATTTCTATCAAGTTAAGTTATTGTTTATTTAATATGATTTATAAATTCTATATATTTTGCCTTATACCCCACGATTATTTCATTATTTCTTCTTGAATATCTTGTTATAGTATAACATTTAATTTTTACAGTATAATTACTGAAATAAAAGCCTACTAAAGTCGTTTAGATATGCAATGCACAAACATAAGAAATATAACTTCATGTAATAAAACATGCAAATTAAAATAAAACTGGAATTTCAGTAAAAAAAACTTACAAGTTTTATTGATTATATATATATATATATATATATGTATATGTATATGTGTGATACGAATGGTAGGAGAGTTAACGAGCTTATGAAGTATAACTTAAGTATAAGTTGATTAAATTAAAAGTCAGATAAAATAGAAGGTAATAAAAATATATATAAAGGTTCAGTATATCTTGTTTACATAGGATAATGTGATGGAAAAAATTGTATTCACCTTTTTACATCTGTATATCAGACTTTTATTTAGAAACAATTAGAATCTTAATTTCTGGAAAAACCATTTGTTTTTACCGTTTTTATACCTAGAAAATACGATCAAAAATTAGATAATAATTATGATTATGATGCACGGATTTTGAGGTGACAGCAGTATGTTAAATTACGTACCTCTCTTCGAATTTGACACGCGTCTGGAAACGAACCTTCTTGCGCTTCATTGGGTCCTTAAGATCTTTAGGAGCCACTTTTTCCAACTGTAGATCCACTGTATATCTCGTTGGCATTAAATGATTATAATTTAGGATCTAAAATGTTTTACAAATAAATAAAAAGATATAATAAAAATATTGAATATGAAAAAAAATATTGAATAAAATATTGAAATGAAAAGATATAATAAAAATATTGAAAATTGCACAATGGAAAATTTCAACTTTATCCAAGATTTCCAAAAAGAATTTCATGAGAATGAGAAAATGTACCTTAACAAAGGGCTTGATTTTAGACCGTTTATGCAGTTTACCCTTGCCCATCCTTTTGTGGACTTTGCGTGGGTACCGGTCAATGCCTGCAACCATAGCATGTCCATATTGTTTTTCTGCTGTACCCTCATCATAATTACGCATAACGATAGCTTTTCTTCCTGCGTACCGGCCACTGAGGACCAGCACGACTTTCCCTATTTTCATAATCTTCACCATCTTGTATGCTGAAAAAGAAACAAGACATATCAATTACAAATTATAAATTATAAGATAAGAAATTTCAAACTATGACATAACTATAAATTATATTCTAACGAATGTTTTTATAGAATCGAAAACATTAGTGTCACTATTTTTCATCTAAAGCCAATCATATCGAGATTAATTCTTGCTGGCAATGTAAACATCTTAACATATCAAGCATCACATAACCTCTCGTGTCGCGTGACAGACAAATTTATAATCCAAGAAAAGAAAAGAAAAACCAGAGGCGTCACGTTACGTAGTGTGACATTCCAAGAAGTAACGAAATCATGAGAAATTGATGACAACCGAGCAGCCGGTCGTTGTGGAACGCGACGTGGGGCTCGACCAAAGAGGTTAACCCCGCGATTGTCTGGTAGCAAATATATTTTGAGAACAAGAATTAAACATTAACATGTGAATGGGAACCGCGTTGCACATTGATCGCAAACGCGATGCGAAATGTAGCGGAAAAACCGTTAAAATACCCGATGCTTACGGATTATTCTATACAGCAATACGTATCACGCACCTCACGGCTTTTTCGTACCGTAGGAAAGGAAGTTGATCACACCATAGACTATGAAACGATAGATGTGCCACAGCACATCCGCCTGATTCGCCGAAGTCGAACCGCGCAAACGCGTTCAATTGACCATTGACCATCCTAGATAAGAAAAAGTCCAAAATTGAGATATAAGATATCCAAATAGGCGAATCATAAAGATGTCTTTTAAAAAAAGTCTTTAAAACGTTTTTAAAATATCTTATATCTTATTTTTGGACATATTATTTCGATATATTTAAAATCAATTGGTTTGGATTATATTGTTTATAATTGTAAAAAAGAGTTTTTAAATCTATATGAGTTAGAAAAAGACTTATTAAAAAATAATTAGTAAAATACAGATGATTTTAAAAGATTTCCTTAAACATTTAATTTTTAAAAATATTTACATACGTTTGCATTTAATTTTTTTTGTTAATTTTAACAATTTTTGTAAATATGTAATCGAAAAAATTATATTCAACAATTAACAATATCATTTTTTAATTATTTCCAAGTCCCATTGATCACAAAAATTAGGTCTGTTTTCTGTAGTTGACCTAGCTGACCACTTTTGGAACTTAAAGTGAGATAAAGCCTGTTCTTTTTGGATAAACTTTTGTACCAATTCATCTTTCTTCTTCTTCTTTTCTCCTAAAGATAAAAGGAAAAAAGATGAACTGATGCAAAAGTTCAGTTTTGAAAAGAACATGTCTGTAGATATACATTTGATATTTGTTTAAAGCGAAAAAGAGAGTTTTAGTCTAGTTGCAGGAATAGAAAACAAATCAATTTTTATATTCATAGTTTGTTCTTATTTTAAAACCATCTCAAGTAATTACAACATACGGTGCTAATGTAGCTTTCTGATTGACTTATAACATCTTAAAAAACAATCTCAAATATATAAATTGACGATTTATATCTTTAATAATATCCATGGAGGATGGGGACTAAGGAGATCTGAGGAAACCAAATTAGGGTTTGAAAAGTGTGTTCAAAATCAAGTTTTTGAATTGATATTGGTAGTGCTCGATAGATAGCGTTCAAATCGCAAAATTCCTCCATATGTTTAAATAACACAACCGAACATACATAACCTAAGAATAGAGATGTTATTCTTTGACATCATGCTTTGACAATAGTAGAAAAACGAAATTCACATAAATTGTCATTAAAAAAACTGCATGAAGAATGGAGCATTCTTCATATAAAATTGGTATGAACCACCATGCAAACTGCGAGAACGGTGTCGTTAAAATCACTAGAATAACAAAGTACCGCAAACTGCCGCCATTTTGGCTCCATGACGCGCGATTATTCAAAACTTCAATCTCTTTCGCTGCGGTTTGCAATTTTCAACACAGCAACCGGACATTTTCGATAATAACAGAATTAAGTTCTTCTTCTTTTTCTTCCAGACCCTTGTATGGATTTCCGATCTTACAACAGAATCAGGTTAAGTCCAAGACACAATGCGAGGAAATAGCGATAGCGATAGAAATAACACGTCTATCAGAAACTGTTTTTTGCGATATATCCGATTTCCAATAGATTGAAATCGTGTTATTCTTATCGCTATCGCTATTCCCTTGCTTATGGCTTTAGGATAGCATTTCAATGTCGTTTTGGCTTCAAATGTTAATTCAGTGAATTTTCTCATCGCGTTATTTGTTATCTAGTGACTTTAGGTGTGTATGGAACGAAAATGACATCTCGATCGAACTGATTCAGATGATCACTTTTGAACACGCTTTTTGACGGCCTCATCCATATACAATAAGTTCGGCCTCCTTAAAATGGAACACATGATACTCAATTTTTTGAATGATAGCATGCATACAATCATGCCTACTCTGATGTATTCTAAAATTCGTTCATACATTGAGTGCTGCATGCTGCATATATATGATTTTTATATTTATTATGGATTACTTCATTATTTCTTTACACGCATCAAAAGAAATAATTGCTAATTTCATAGATATTTATCAAACGTCAAGCATTCAAAGCAAGCATAGCAGTATGCATGTGTATATGCATGTTTATCATTCAAGAAATCGAGCATCGTGTGATTTCTTTAGTCTCTATCCTCCATAATATCACATCAATGGTTTTGATGATTCCTAGCGCGATCGCTACTCTCAGTTCTTCTATTTCTATGATTTCCTCCCTCTCCTTACCACATTCTTATCACTGCATATTGCTTTAATGCACGTAATCGCGTGTTAAATACACAATCTTCGTTATGTTCGACAAGCGGCGTATTCGCCGGGGATTCTGATCCATTCAGATCCATTACCGACCATATTCTCGCGGTAATCTGTGTCAATCTCTCGTGAAGATTCGCACTATCGTTGCTTTCTTCACAGACCCTTTTCCCTGCCGAATAAAAACAGATTCGTCGTCCTTGCACGATGGTGAAATATTATGAGAATATCACAATCTTCAAGTTCGATTGGACGCAGGTCGTTCGAGGATTCTTTCAGAGATATCCGAATCCGCACAGGTGATTGAACACATTACATCATATGCGTAACTAAAATACAAATATTACATAACATTGTGCATTCATCGGAATTCACAATGCAATATGATTTTCAGTTCACACGTTCTCACTGAGGATACAATCTCCAGAGAAATTAAAAATGGAAAGCTCTACTCCAAGCGGCTGCTAACAAAAACCAACAGAGTACCCAAATGGGGTGAAAGATTCATTAGTAAAAACATTGTAAAAATTGTGGAAGAGAGTATTGTCGATCCAGAAGCAAAGACTCTGACTACGTATACAAGGAATTTGGGATACACCAAAGTTATGGTAGGCTACTTAGAAAACAATATTATCATTATTTTAGGACAAATGTTAAAACGATAACTTCCTAGCTTATTTCCTAGATGATTTAAATTTTAGAGAAATAGATAATGAAGATTTTTTTTTCAAAAGTCCTATTTTAAATGAATTGGTATAAATTAAATAATACCAAACGTACAAAATTTATAAAACTTTTAGTTATAAATTCTTTTATCTGTTTGATTGTTTAATAGTAAAAAACATTTAAAAATTGATAATCTTGATAAAGAAAACAATTATAATTATCATTGGTAATTAAGTTTTCAACAGAATTATAATTTTTTTCAGAGCATCGTCGAGAAAGTGGTTTATCAGATCTCCGATGAAAATCCAGACTGGACAATTGCAAAAAGATCAGCATGGATAGATAGTCAAGTCTTTGGTTTTAGCAGAGCGATTCAAGCCTTCGGCTTAGATCGGTTTAAAAAGAATTGCGCCAAAATGTCGGAGGGCTTCAATTACGTTCTCGCAAATATGTTTCCCCATACAACACAGTTTCTAAATCCGAAACTGTCTCAGACGAGTTTTTCGGTGCAAGCCAGCCACAGCATTGCAGATGATGGTGTTATGATAAAACCGAGCCTTGCAGAGGACTTACAACATTCTTTACAGGGTAAAGCAGAGAAGGTCAAAGACGCTGCTAAGAAAGCTACGGATTTAGCAAAGGAAAAAGCAAGACCAATATATGCGGCCTGTCAACCAAATCAATCGTAAATTTATATATTTCACAAACGCAAAGTGCAAAATCGTATCATTGAATAATATCGTTTAGCGATGGAAATATTCTTGAATAACACGGTATTATTGATGTATCTTGAACAAAACAATGGTAAAGCTTTAGAGACTAGTTCAAGAGTGCAGTTATTTGTATATTAATTAATAAGCACAGTTTAATGACACAGTGCAAAAAGATTTAGAAAGTTGGTTGATTGAACACGTAACGAAACTTGAGAAAATTTGTTTGGCTTGATAGCACAAGATTCTCATCGTAACATGTAAAATTTGCTAAAGTTTTTCGAGTCTGACCCATTTGTAATGTTACCATTCCTTTTAACTGCCAAATTATTGCATAATTAAGCATGCTATCAAATGTGATACATGCATCAAAAATGAGCATTAAATTATTTATTTATTTTTTACACGTAAAAACATTTTCTATTTCTTTTATAATCGTAAAATATCTCTCGTATATATACAAAATGTGCAAAAGTATTCTGATGTGCTTGTCAATGTGTATCAGCACTCATTTGCGCATTTCCTGCATACAGCGCCATACCTAAAGCTTGCAATTGACAATTGTAAAGAACAGCATTTCGTACGCAATTATTAATGCCAATGAAAACAATTACATACGTTACAAATATACATTCAAGTAGATAGTTTTACAATAAATCTTTTTCTCTGTTAATATAATAAATATAGTTTGTAGATATGCGACGGCACGGATAGTGTCAATTGACCACTGCAAGTTACTGAAAGATTTGATTCCATACATTATCAATGTATCATAATTTCAGTATGTTAGCAATATATTACTAAAATGATTATAACTGTGATTTAAGATTGTTGTACAGTATTTCTATATTTTAAATATTTTTCTTTGAATTGTTATTAAAAAGATTTAAATTATTAATAAATAAATAATTTGGGCAACTAAAATTAAATAAAATTTTCATGAATGTAATTAGTGCTCTTACATGTATTTAAATAAAGTTTCAACTCCGTAACCTTTTTAAATAAACCTCAATGTTTCTAGTAACAAATTTAATATATCTATGATCTTTGTGTAATCGGATCATATAATAAAGCATGAAATGCAAAAGGCGAGTAAAGCTACACGCGTTAAAAATTGCAAATGCGGTTAAAAAACTTCCATCGACACTCGTACATATGCTTTATTGTATTCGTATAAAACTGAATGCATTTAACTATTTCATAATTTTAACTTGTGACGCAACTATTGTATATTCGCGTTTTGTAAATATATAACATAAAAATTTAGTTTATTTAAAATGTTAGTTACATAATGTATATATACGATATTCTTTCTTCTGGAACAACATTCCATTTATTTTTATTCTTATATTGTTTTATATTTTTATGAAAAATATATAAAAATACTTATATATACATTACATTGTAAAGGCATACAATGTAATATATTTTTTAAGAACACAAAATAATTTTTCAAAATAGAACACAAAATAATTTTTAATAGAATATAAAAAAAAAACAATTTTAAATTTAAGACAGTATAATGTATAAATTTATATTATTGATATCAATTTATTAAATTAAAATAAATTTTTTTTAGTGTTATAAATATTATCTATTTCACACACACACACATTTTCCAGAATGATAGGATGTTAACTAGGTGATCCTGTATTATTTTTCTTCCTTCATGATTAAAAAATTAGACGCTTTCTGTAGGCTAGAGCAAAAGAAAAATTACGTAGGCATAAATATATACATATAATTCTATATGTACAGGGTTGGCCATATTCGACGGAAAGATGTTTTTTTTTTCAATCATGGGAAACGTCGTTACTCGATCTAACATCTCTGTCAAAAGTTACAGTGTTTGCCAGATCTTTCCGTCGAATATGGCCAACCCTGTATATTATTATCTATCTTTTTATCCACAATTTGTGGATATAGCAGGACTCGTATCACATTCATGATCAACAGTATGATTTTATCAGCAATGTCGATACATACATATCATTGTGATACTTCATATCTATTTTATTAAATAGATATTGGTGTCGCTAGTGTACGAGAGTTTTGTGCCGTATGGTGTGATGTCACGAAAAAGGCCGGAATGGGTGCTCTCATAGCATAAGAATATCTTAGCCCGGATCCTCATACGGTCAACAGCGCTTTGACATCGAATGTTGATTGGTGAAAAACGGGTGATGGAGGTAAATTTTATCTCCACAACTGGCTTTTCACCAATCAGCGCTCTGTGTCAAAGCACTGTTGTCTGAATGAGGATCCGGGCTTATACAATGGGTGCTCTCAGGTTTTATTTCTATACGGAGTAAATACATTGTTTTTTATAATTTATTAAAAATCGTGCAATGTCATGTAGTAATATACAAATTACAACATAATTGAAGTTATTTATGCTGTCTTAAATAACAAAATTATATGTAAACGGTGATCATGGCCTCGTTACTCGTAAATCGTACAGTTAGTGATACTACGACACAGTTTTGTTCGTTAATCGAAAGACTACTTTCGTTAACTAGTACAAAACTCAGCAACAAGAAACAGATCAATACGTGCTTAAATGATCTCAACGAACTAGATTACAGATGTCTCAATATTATAAATAATGATGTAAGGAATATTTGATATTTTGTTGATTAATATAAAACACTTGTACTAGTTGCAGCTCAAACTATATTTTGTTATTTATTAAGATTACATCTATTTCCAGGCAATATTATTATTGGTGAATCAACTTTGTGCAGCAGTTCTACCTACAGAAACATCTTTAGTTCAAAATGTTTGCAAATTTCTGTACAATTTAACTCAGAGCAACATCAAGCTTCATGGTCGGACATTTGTAACTTGCAAACGATGGATTTTAGAAGCATTGGAGTTTTCTGACCCACTGGCACAAGTTGATGTATTAATTGCTATAAAAAGTTTTTTACATTTTGGTTATTTTGATGATATCAATCATGTTAGTATATGGCTTCTTTTTCAACAACAAAGATTATTAAATTAAATTATTATATCATTATATAAAATTAGGTAACTGCTTGATGTTTCAGCATGTACGTCTGTTACTTAAAGATAAGGGTTTGTTAATGAAGCATTTAAATCCATTATGTAATCCATGGTCTGAAATTAATTTTCATGCACTTGGATGTTTAGAAGAAATTGTAACAAACAAAAGCAATGATTATTGCTTATCAGATGAATTTACATATTTGATAAAAAATATAATTTTTAAAATTTTATCACTTCTACCATATCATAATGATGATAAGCTTTACTACAGTAAGGTATATAATTTACTTTTTGTACAATTCAAAAGGTATATATATACATATATACATATTTCATAGAGTTGCTTGTACATTTATAGATCATAAATTTATGCTTGCACATTTTACATTGTATGATTATTGAAAAATTGATCCTTAAATCTCCTGATCTTATTGGAGAAATATTAGGAGTGGTGCAAGCGTTCCTATTTTATGGCATCAAAGGTTATTCAGTTACAAGGCCACAATTACTTCGTCCAGCTGCTATGAATCTCCCAGAACGAGTTCACATAGTTCCCAAATGCAAGAATCTTAAAAATCATAAAGCAAGATCTAGAAAAACATTAGCCAAGAAAAATACGTCCGATTCAGGAAATAATGCCATTCTAGAACATACAGGAATTTCCAAATATTCCAGTGATTCAGATACTTCGGATACAGAGATTAATAATTCTATCCACATCGATTCCAAAGTAAGATTGGGAGCTGTACGTTTATTGCAGATTCTAATAGAAATCACTCGAAGTAAAGAGATTTTTGGATACTGGCCACAAATCGTAGCTACCGGTTCACGAAATGACGCAAGAGTATTGACAAGAAGCATACTAGTTGAACCTGTGTCTAAAGTGCGACAGAATGTATTGTGTGCATTAACTGAATTGTTGATAGGTGCTAAACCATTTTTAATACACGCCGAGGATACCAATCATACCTCTTTCATCACATTCTTCGGCACAGTATGTTTAATGGTCAAGGAACTACATTTTACATTATCATTAATTTTACTGGCTGAAAAAAATGTAGCTGTATTAACGCACGCGTTAAAATGCACAGCAGCTCTTGTACAGGGCACATCATACGAACGACTGAAACCAGGTTTGGCTACCAAATTAGTTAGGAATTGTAAGCCGCATATATTTCACAAAGGTATATTTTGCCTTTATTATTCTATTTAATTTTTAATTTATTACTTTCATTATAATCAAGTTATTTTTCTAGATCCAACTGTACGAGTTGCGGCACTATCTATTTTTGAAGCATTTGCCTCAAATGAACCTATAACGCAAGAAATATTAAACATATTAGCTAAGCAAACTGTGGGTGAAATAGGATCAGAAAGTTCGCAGTTTGATACTAGTTCCATCAGTGACATTGGAACAGAAGAAGAGGAAATAGATATCGAGGATATCGAAAATTCGACAAATAGCTATAATGAGATCACATCAATATCAAAAGATGAAAATGCTTGTTTGCTGGTTCGCGTTTGTTTACAAAATATATCTAATAAGGTATATATAAACGATACACATTATACTTTTGTTTTTCACATTTGAAGATTTTGTAATTAAAGTAGTTGTCAGTCAAACTGAAAAAATTACTTAAATTAATTTGTTCCATTTTAGTTAGTTAAAATACCTGTACGACTTCAATCTTTAAAACTTATGGGCAGACTGGTATTTAATACAGGAAATCTTATATTTCCTCATTTGGAGAATGTGACTACGGTTTTAATTTCGGTTATGGAGGAAACAGAAAACCAAGTAATATTGCACGCATGTCGAGTTTTAGAAATTATGTCTGGTTGCCTCGCAAATACTGAAACTTATAGTAATGGTATATTATTTTGGAACATTATATTTGAACCTATAATATCACTCGCCCAAACATCACGGACCATATTGCGAGAAGCTGCTTGCGATTGTCTAGGTAGCATCAGTGGAAATGTATTCACACAATTATCGGTAAGAATAATTGAAACAAAAAGAATGTAATTATCCAAATTTTTATTTCTTTTATGAACTTATGACATTCATCAAGCTAAATATTTTTCATGTCATCTCTAATATTCTGCTTTATTTTCATTTATATTTGCAGAGACAAAGAGTTATATTAATAATTACAATTCTATTTGGAGCAGTTCGTGATGAAGAAAGTGCTGTAAGAGCAGCCGGCTTACGTGCATTAGGAATGTTGGTAACTTTACCGTCTTTGGAATACGATACCGGCTTTCTCATGGATCTGGCTGATACGGTTTGTTCAGCTTTTGAGGACAAAAATCTTGGTGTTCGTGTAAAAAGTGCTTGGGCATTGGCGAATTTGTGTGACTGTCTTTCCAGGCAAAAGTTTGTTTTTCAGACTGCCTTCTTTCATTATCTTCTTTGCACGCGATGTCTTCTCTATTTATATAAAAATATATCTTTTATCCAGACAGCATGAAGATGTGGAACCATTTCCTTTAGAAGATTTATTACCCAAACTGTATCATATAAGCGTTAAGGCTACAAAAGATAATGATAAAGTGAAGTGTAACGCCGTCAGAGCAATTGGAACTATTTTACATTTATGTCCACAGAAACATATACTTTCCGACACGACAATAGGGTTGGACGCACTTATCAAATGTGCCGTTTTAGGAAACGATATGAAAGTAAGAGAAAAGTTCTAATGATTTCATAATAATTATTATTATAATATTAATTTCCATAATTATTTATGCATATATTTTTTAACTCAAAATAGATTTATTTATGATCAAATCCCATTATCTCGATACTTATGCATTAAATGTTTTGTTATTATTTTGCAATAATGAAGTGTGTAGCTGCAATAAATATTTCTTGATTTACTTAATAAAAATAAATCTTTTTTATTTATAACATTAGGTACGATGGAACGCTTGCCGAGCTTTAGGATTGGTTTTGAGCCACGATCCGGACGCGATATTGCCATCTTCTTGGAAAGTATGTACTTGGAAAAATGTGATTAGTGAATTTATCTTGTGTAAATGTGTAAAACTAGATATTTTTATAGGATCAAGTATTTCCAGCGCTTTCGACTTTGATATGCGATAGTCCTAATTTTAAAGTACGAACTAACGCCGCATGGGCACTATCTTCATGTAATGACTACGGTAAATATACTGTAATGTTGTGGAAAAATATTGTATTAGCATTTGAAAATGCTCAACATGTACCAAGCTACGTTGAATATCCGCATCGAGATGCACTCATTCAGCAAGTAAGTATGCTTTTTCTTATAATACATAACAATATTCTTGGAATATTATTGGTTATGTATTAATACAAAAAATATATACTTTTTAATTATTATTTAACAAGCAGAAAATATTTTTCAGTTGTGCCTTACTCTTAGTTGTGTAGCTGCCCATACAGAAAAATCCGAACTACAAAGTCTTTGGATAGAGATTGGCGACCATTTAGAAGAAATTTCTAATTTCATGAAACAATTTCAGGTATAGTGTGTTATACAAAATATAATTATTAAATCAAATATACAAGACGAACATAATTTTATAATTTTGATGTATTGAAATTTTGTAGGAGACTGTTTTACCTGAAAAGCTAGGAGATTTAATTAAAGCAAAAGTCCAATTAGCACAGCATGTGAAAAATGCACATTCTGTTGAAGAACGACAAATCGCTCAATCTTTGGCAAATATATTCGAGAAGACTAATCGCTATGACAATCTAGATGCCATTACCTCTACGATATAGAATTGTATATACAACTAAAATGATGAAGAAAAAAAAAATAAAGCAATGTAATATATTTTTTAACATTTTTTTTACCAGCTATTTACTGCAATTTACAATTTTTATTAATAAAGAAAGCTTGATATCAGTGGAATTAAAAATATATACATGTAAATTAGTTACTTTAATATTGTTCAAAAAATCCATACCAATATAAAATTGTATTATAATGATATATAATACAGTATGATATACAATTTTAATTGTGAATGAATAACTGATACATTGCTTTAAAAAATCTATCAATGTTCTAGTTTTCACTGAAATCTTCAGTTCGGTTCCACTACAATGCAAATTTAGAGTAATATTTTTTCATTAGATTTGTGGATCAAAGCAAAAGTGAAATGAGTCAATCATATTTCCAGACTTTGAGCGTACTCCACATCGAATGATTCAGTGGAAACTAGATCAATTTCAAATTCAACAAAAAATATCGGACCATTAATATACATGTCAAGTGCCATCTTCACATTGAATATTTTCGCTTGATACCTCAGATTGTGTCTTTAACATATCTTCTTGATTTTCTCCCACAAGTAATGATGATTCCTTTTCTGTCGCTAACGTTACTTCACTTTCATTCATGGAAATGTTCTTAGGATAACTGTCATTTTCTTCAGTTACCTTATTATTTTCTACAGTTTTAGTTTCTTCATTCTCATCTGAACTGTCATCCTCACTATACTTTTCGTCCAAGACAGCATTGTCCTCCTTATTATTAGCTTTAAGTTTCTTCTGCTTACGTCCCTGCTTCTTCCTCAATCTCTTAGCACGTTTCTTTGCTGTTGTCTCCTCTGCCAATCTTCTATTCTCTTCCAATTTCTGATGGTATTCGTCATCTAAAAGTTCCTATAATTTTGACAAAAGAAAATTGTAATCAACAGGAAAAAAATATGTGATTTTTAGGCAACTCTAGATGTATGTATATTATACAATAATCACCTTATATGCCTTCTCCTGAATAAATTTTTGTCGCGCATACTCCTTACGTCGCAGATGTCTGTACACGTGAAACTCTCCACTACCTGCTCCAGCACTGCTACCCATAACATTACGAACAAATTCTGGTACAGAAGGTGTATTCTTGGCCTTTGGACGTTCTGGTAGTATAACTGGTTTATCCTGTACAATTAAAACACAAATTATATAATACAATTCTGATTCAAATAACGCATAAATCAATAGATAAATATGCAAGCCTTCTTACAACGTTCTTCATTAATTTCATTAATTTCAATCTTTGCAAATCCACGGCTGTTTTTGGCACTACAGGTTTTTCTTCGTCCTTTTCCTTGTCGTCTGACATTTTTCCACTTCGTGAATACGAAGAAGTGAATTAACTTGACAATATAAATCTTTATGACTCTGATTCTCTCAAAATAAACTTGTTGGTTAGCACACCATAGCATACCAATAACATACCGCGTCTTTAAAATATTCTAGTGCATTTAAGGCAGGACAGGAAAAAATCTATGATCTTGAATGTTCCTAAATTATCAACTAGGAATTGAAGATTGCCGTCTGCGCCAACAGCTTCTTTTTAATTAAGCTAATCACACACTTTCCGTAATGCATGGTCTACAATGGGCAGTAGCAGTACTGGATTAAGAAGTAGGCGTAGAAATCGACCAAATCATAGTTGATTATTTTTCTTACATTCAACTATGATTGGTCGATTTCTACGCCTACTCCTTAATCCACTACTGCTACTGCTAATTGTAGCCATGTATCACAGTAAGGGAGAGGAAACAGAGAACAGAGAATAGGAATTTCAATCTATCAGATATCATGTATTGTGGAATACACAGTTTCTGATAGATTGAAAAATTCTTATCCTTTGTTTCCTACTCTTTTTATTGTGCGGAGCCCCTTACAATAAGATTTTGATCGCTCGATTAAGGTACATCCACATAACTTGTATAGCCGTATAAACATATGCATAAATAATATAGAAAATTATCCAATCACATTTTACGTGCGACTTCATAAGAGAAATGCGATTGGATAATTTTCTGCTTACGTTTATGCGGCTATGCAAATATGTGTGGATATACCCCTACGGTTACGGACGACCGAATCGAGCAACGCGATTGGCTACGAAAACCTACATTACGTTTACGGTTATTGTTACGAAAAATGTGTGTGACTAGCTTAAGTCAAGAGACGCAAATATAGACGCAATTTCAATGCAATTTCATGTGATATGGGGATTATAAACTGCAGACTTAACAGTTGAATGAGCGCAATTGACATTTCTTCTAGATCTAAATTTCTGATTGGATAGTCGAAAAGAATACACCAATAACAGCGAATTGTCACTCAACTGTTGAGTCCGTTGAATGCGCCCATTGTAAGAGTAGTTTCAGACAGTTGGAGACACTTGGAGAGAGAAGAGACAGCTGAGATTTGAAAAACAATTATAAACGCGACGAAGTGTAACCGGAAATCTTAAAATAATTTGTGCAAAGTAAGTATGTGCCTCATATGCAATGCCTGTTAACGACATATGTCCTTATCTTCGCGATTTGGAATTATGGAAATGTATAATGTCATTATATATCATCATATCTATAACTTAACCTACACGATTTTGTCATCGTATAAAAGATGTCACATTTTACATAAAACAGCTTCTACCGATTTATTTTTATAATAATAAATATAATGAATAATAATTTAATTATATTTAATTATAATAAGTATAATTAGTGTATAGTTAGTATAAGTATAATTTTGAATGTTTTTATAATTAGCAGCAAAATGAAATATATAAAAATATCCTAATTTTCTACATTTTTTAGATTGACATATATATATATACATATAATGGAAGATACAAATAATTTCATGGATGATTCAGTAATAGATGTTTCCCCTTCAATAGATGTTATTGATTTAACTAAGGAATCACCAAGTTCAGTCAGACCTTTAAGAAAATCACGTCAGAGAAATGTCGAAAATGTATCTTCTAGCAATAATGTAACCAGCAATTCAGATCAAAGGCCTATACCTCCCATTGTTTTAGGAAATACACAAGATACCCAAATGTTTGTATATATATCTTATTGATTTCTTAACGAAAAGTAAATAGATTTATTTTAAAACTAAAAATATATTTTTAGGAAAAGTACTAGAAAGAAAGAAAGAGTTTCTCAGGCTACAAGTGAAGTTTTGATCCTTGACGATACTATTGAAGAAGATAAAATATGTTATTCAGTTCAATCAGATATTAAAGAACCAGTACCTCTTACATGCCCAATATGTTTTGAAGCATTATCTTCCAAACTGAAACCTTATACTACTCGTTGTGGACATCTGTTTTGCTTAGAATGTTTGCAGACATTCCTTCAGACAGCTAAAAAATGCCCAACTTGTAAAACAACTATAGCTTTAAAATCTTGTACTCGTTTATATTTTTAAATATTGTAAAACATTATACAAGCCGTTCCATATCTTTTGGTAGTATTTCATATTTTGTAATTATTTATATATACATAAATTGGCAATTGTAAATCTTAAATTTTGTTTTTATACATTAAAAAAACTTTTCATAGAGAGGTTTTTTTTACAATATTTTATCGTTTAAGAAAACATGTAATATATACGTTCAATTAATTTATATTTTATTTGGTAACTTATGTCTAAATTATAAGCAAAATCGTAACATATTCTTGTAAGAATTTTTAAGTACTTATACCTTTATATTTTTAGACAGCTTCTTACGTACGATTATTCGTAAATATCTATGATTTCTTGTAAACTTTATGATTAAAATTAATAATCATATGTCTTGCAATACGTACGCACAAAATTAGAATATTAGTCATAAGTTCTTACAAGTTTTACGATTCTGCTTAGAATTGATTCATTACTCTGGACATAGCATTGTAAATTTATAATATTAAGAGAAGTGCTGAAATTTTTTTATTTTTGTTAGCCTATATAAACAAATTTTAATTTTTAAGAGAAAGCGATTACAAAATCAAGTTAGTTTATTACCATAATTAGTTATAAAATATTTTCAAAATAACAAATTATGTATTTTATGCTACAATATTAAAATGTAATTAGAAAGAGATTTAGTACACCTTTTAATTGTCTTAATTTAATTTAATATAATTACATTCGTAATTTAATATATAAGTGTATATGTTTTCTTATTTATACAATGACCCAAAATGTATATATTATTTGTTTACGTTATTTGAGTATGTAACCTTGTGATATCTGTTAACTGTCATAAGAGAATAATTACTTCCTATTCTCTGCTTAGACACAGTAACGCAATCTTGTTTCAAATTAAAATCTACTTTGAAAAGGTATGATGTATTCTTTTAACGTTTTCAAAGAAAAAGGAATATATAGACAATGTTCATGATACAATATTATTTTTCATTGGAACTGTTGTAGGATTTTTAAGTGAGTAAATTATCGGATTTGCCTCACTCAATTTGAATTTCTATCGTACAATTTTATCTGAATTACAAGTAAATATTCTTTATAGTTGGAGTATATTTTGAAAGATTGTTATCTTGTAATAATAATATATCTATTACAGTTCAGTGGATGAGTATATTGGAATACAGCCAATACCAAGATAAATGACAAAACGAAATATAATCGACTCTGTAAATAATGAGGTGTCTATATTAAAGGTTTTTATTAATATACTCGGTCATTATTCACGGTGTGCATAAATTTCTACCGCTACTTGGTCTAGAGAAATAAAAATTTTCAGAATTTCACGTTTTTTTTTTAGATCAACTAAAACAGTATTGAACCAGCATCGAATAATTTTGAAATATGAATATAAAAATTAATAAATGACATAACAAAAAGGAAATAAGTTTTCGACTTTTACGCATTCTACTAGGTGATAATTAACAAAATCTGTTATAAAAAAAACGAATACATATCTACTTAATGAATAACAGTCGCGATACAGAGGAAAAAATTATGCTATATACATCGTACACACACACACACACACACACACACACACACACAC